CTAGGCTCCCTGGTTACTGCCTTGTCCTGCTGGTGTCAGCCCTCTCCACAACCAGCTCATGATGTCGCCATCCAAAGTGCTCTCTGACTGCCATGCACCGAACAGTCAGAGGCTGTTCCCACTACTGGCCCCTCCTCCTTCCTCTAATTCCTATCATACCCCAGACTCTCCTTCTCAATCTTTCTTCCCCATAATCCTGCCAGGTAATGGTATTAAGAGGTGAAGACTTTGGATAGTGATTAGGTCACGAGGGCTCCAGTCTCAGGAATGAGGTTAGTCCTTATAAAAGAGGCCTGAGGGACATGTTTGCCCCTTCTGTTGTGTGAGGACACATATGAGAAACAAGTCCTTACCAAAAACCAGACCTGTAGGTGCCTTGATCATGGACTTCCCAGCTTCTAGAAGAGTAAGAAATAAATTTCTATTGTTTGTAAATTACCCAGCCTAAGGTATTTTGTCATAGAGCCCAAACAGACTAAGACACATACCAGTTGAGTGCTATTTACATATATTTCTATAATCCAATTCAGTCAAGCACACAAATTATTCTCATCCTTAATTTATTTCCATTTACTGGCAATTTTTTCCAAACCTCTCTTCTATCTGCTTATTGGTTATGAAGAGCCTACTGATTAGCAATTATCCATAGCATTAACTGTCTATAATTATGATTTCTCTTGGCTTATTTGAGGGTTCCGTGAGACTCCAGGATGAGGAATCACATGAAGCAATATATATACTAATTTGCCAAGAAACTAACCAGATCAGATGTACAGATAAGCCAAAAGGCAATTTTTTAAAGTTACAGTTCTACTAATGTGGAGAGTACTGTATTTGTTTTTGTTATTTATAGTAAAATGTTTAAATGCTGCAAATAAACCAATCTTGGCATTTTTAACTTTTTATTATGAAATTTTCAGACATACCCAAAAGTTCAGAGAACTCAAACCCACTGCCCAGCTTCAACCCCAACAAGTTTTTATTTTTTTGCTTTTTTTAAAACCAAAGTACAGCAAATTCCAGCCATCATTCATTTCTATAAATACTTCATCTCTGATAAGGACTTTCTAAAGATCACAACCACAATATAATTATCATACCCAGCAAAATCAAAGATAATTCCTAATATCTTCTAACAATCCATATTTAGTTTTCCGTGATGACCTCCTCAAAATATTTTTGTACAATTGTCCAATTGCTTTTTTCAAATCAGGATCCAAACAAGGTACACGCATTGTTTGGTTCATGTGCCTTAAGTTTCTTTTACTTGCAGCAGTTTTCCCCTCTTTTTTTACTCTTTCTCAAGCTCTACTTATGTGTTAAAGAAAGGTCATTTGAGCCGGGCTTGGTGGCTCAGCCTGTAATCCCGCGCCTTTGAGAAGCTGAGGTGAGTGGATTGCCTGAGCTCACGGGTTTGAGACCCTCCTGGGCAACTTGGTTGCTTGGCAACTTTATTGTAGAGACCTCATCTCTACAATAAATCAAAAAATTAGCCGGGCGTGGTAGCGCATGCCTATAATTCCAGCTACTTGGAAGGCTGAGAAGGAAGGATCGCCGGAGCCCAGCAGGTCGAGGCTGTGGTGGTCGGGAGCAGCCACTGCACTCCAGTTGGGGTGACTGAGTGAGACTCCAACTCAAAAAAAAAAAAAAAAAGAATGAAAGGTCATTTGACACTGCACACAGCCCACTTTCTGTATTTGGTTGAATATATTCTTGTGGTGTCATTTAACATGTTCATCTAACACCCAAATCCTCTATAAACTAGCAGTTAGATCAAGAGGCTTCATTAGATTCAGAATCAATGCTTTTGGCAAGAATACCTTCTAGGTGGTCCTTAGTGCTTCCCAGTGCATCACAGCAGGAAGTGCCTAACCTAAGGCTGTCTCACTTGGAGTGACTCTAAAGCACATCCAGGGCTTAGAGGCAACAGCCTGCTCCATCTACCACAAAGCTCCTCCTTAACTCTTCACCTACAATGAGCAGCTGCTAAACATTGAGGCTCACATACATTACTTCATTAGGAAGGCTGGGTTTCTTAAGCCTGCATTAACTAAATATATCCCAGTGTCCAAAGGTATAATTATAGAAAGAATAAGAATTATTTGGTGTCTGAAACAATAACATTATTTGTGTGGTTTTTATTACATTTTGTAAGTGACCTGGTAGGGAATACAATACAAAAATGCTGATTTCCATACTGTTCTTTAAAAAGGTTACAGATAAATCACTGACTCTGTGTTGTGCTAGAGTAAATCTTCCCCAAAGTTCAAAGTTCTAAAAAGTAGTGAATATAGAATAAGGTAGATCTTGAAAAATATGATACTTATGAAGAAAGAGGGAAAAAGGAAATAGAAATATCACGTTTCCAAAGCAGTACACTTATTTTAGTACTTTTCCAAAGGACAGATTAATGAAGTACTAAAACAACCTTAAAACTAATGAATAAACAGTTTTAATTTCCTCTTCTTTCCAAACACCTAACTAGAGAATCTAGAAAACAGCAAAAAAATAATCTGAATCCTTTTCTTCCCTATCCCGTACTCATAGAAGTATTAACAAACTGTAAAATACCTGCATGAACGGAAGCAAGAATCTTCCTCCCTTCAGAAACAGAGGCTGGTTAATGCCTTCCCATAATCATTTAATGACCCTGAGAAATCCTCTATGAATAGCCACGCCTCACAGGCACCTACATTTCCACCTGGGTTAAAGATCCTCCAACTCAGAAGAATAATGAGCGCTCCACTGAATCACCAGCAAGTCAAGGAAAAGATAGGGAAGGGAACTGAGTAAGTTTCAAGATAATTAGTAAGACAAGGGATCCTGAACTCCTCCAAAAAAGATATAAGGAGGCATTTAAAATGCTGCAATGAATGCCCCTGAGCTGTATACTTAAAAATGATTCAAATGGCCGGGTTCGGTGGCTCAGCCTGTAATCCCGTGCCTTTGGGAGGCTGAGGTGAGTGGATTACCTGAGCCCGCGGGTTCAAGCCCCGCCTGGGCAGCGAGACCTCATCTCTATAATAAATAAATAAATAAATCAGCCGGGCGTGGTAGCGTGCGCCTGTAATTCCGGCTACTCGGAAGGCTGAGGCGGAAGGATGGCCGGAGCCCAGCAGGTCGAGGCTGCAGTGGCCGGGAGCGGCCACTGCACTCCAGTCTGGGCAACAGAGTGAGACTCCAACTCAAAAAAAAAAAATGATTCAAATGGGCCAGGTTTGGTGGCTCAGCCTGTAATCTCAGCACTTTGGGAGGCCAGGGCGAGTAGATTGCCTGAGCCTGAGGGTTCGAGACCAGTCTAGGCAACTTGGCAAAACCTGGTCTCTACAATAAATAAAAAATTAGCCAGGCATGGTAGCATGCACTTGTAGTTCTGGCTACTTGGAAGGCTGAGGTGGAAGGATCGCCGGAGCCCAGCAGGTGGACATGGGGGTGACTGTGAGCATGCCACTGCACTCCAGCCTGGGCAACAGAGTGAGATTCCAACTCAAAAAAAAAAAAAAAAGATTCAAATGGTAAATTTTCTGCTGTGTCTATTTTGCTACCTACAAAATGTTGCAATAGTCAATTCAGAGGTGTATAGGCTCACGTGGACGAGAAGCACCTCTGCCAGGCGCTGTGTTCTATTATCCTTCTTACTACATCACAGAGGAAATGGAGGCTCCAGAAGATGAAGTAACTTGTTCAAGTCCCACAACTAACAAGAGTTGAACCTAGATCTGTCTGCTGCCAAAAACCCCTTGCTCTGGCCACAGTCCTACACTGTCTCTCCAGAGAGATGTATTGGGAATTTGCAAAGGAAATTTCTAGATGATTGCCCTTGAACAGCTCTGTGCAAAAAAATTTCATAATTACAAGGCACACAAGAACACTGCATGTTAAAAACAGCTTCACAATCTGAACACTCTGCTCCCTGCATCTCAACGTAGGCCCATCACCTTAAGGAGCTTTAAACAACATGTAAAAGAGGGCTACAGTGAGGATAACATCTCAGACACTAAAGTCAGAGGGCCATGAGGCCAGTTCCTGTGGCCAGCTCTGCACTTGCCCACACGTGGGTGCTGCCACGGTAGGACCTGGAACTTGGCTAAGCTTGATTAGGCCTACAGGGAAACAAAGAAGGAGATGAATGAAAGGGTCGGAATTTTCCCAGGGACCAGCTTTCCCAGGCCAATAACTGGTAACATACTCTCTACCTGCAAAGGTAAGCTGGAGGTTGGACCCGAAGCAAGAAAACACAAGCGAGGAATACAAAGGATCAGAGGAAGTGCCTGCCATGCCCAGCAGCCAACTAACGGCCGGGGCCTCACACAACAGACGGGTCACTGACAGGTACCCCTCCAGACAGTCCACGCTTCACTGAAGAGGAAGCTAAGGAAGCTGGCTAACCCATAAGAAGAACCTCCTCATTTGTGACATGGTGATGACAATGACACGGGAGTGGTCGCTTTATGCCTAGATGCTTCATGGATACTCCTCAAGTCTCACAAAGTCCTATGGTGAAGACACTGCTGTCATCCCCATTTTATAAGAGGGCAGGCAGGCAGGCAGGCAGGCACAGGCACAGAGAGTCTGGGTTTGCCCAAAGTCTAGCCAGAGTCAGGAATAGTGCCCTGGGCCATCTCCCCCCGTGCCTGCAGTCTCAGGAACAGAACACCACCACCCAAATAAATAACTTTTTACAAGTTACTTCTCTTTACGTTTTTTTTTAATTGATAAACAAATTATATATATTTATTGTATACACTGCGGTTTGGCTAAATCAAGCTGATTAACATATGCATTACCTAATTTGGCTGTGTGTGTGTGTGTGTGTGTGTGTGTGTGTGTGTGTGTGTGTGTGTGTGGTGAGAACATTAAATCTACTCTTTTAGCAGGTTTCAAGATTACAGTATATTATTACTAACCAGTGACTTTCATCACCATGTTGCACAAAAGATCTCTTGAACTTACTTTCTCTTATTTACGTGAAATTTTGTATCTTTTGACCAACATCTCACCAGTCACTTTTAAGACATCCCATCTCTGCTTCCAGTCAGTTCCCAGAAGTTCTTGAAAGGAAGGTGTTAATCTCCTCCTTATTAAGGCTCCACACATGCTGACAGCTGCTGTCTAGGTCCTGGCTCTGGGCTCTCAGCATCTGCTGCACGTTGCAAACCAAGTCCCTTACCTGGCAGAAGCTGGCCTTGGCCGCGCTAAGTACTCTGCAGCTCTATGGTACCTCTGGTCCACAGAGGTAATCACTTGCTTTTGAGACGAATGAGACTCTTTGGCTCTCTATGTTCATATTTCATCTATCAATCTTATGTATTTAAAGCCTGAAGTCACTCGTGCCATCTTCCTCAAAGACTGAGATTGACTCCTGCCCAACTTCACTTTAAAATCAGATGGCTAAAATGTCATCCTTTAAAACAGACCACTTTATAAACAAGATAATAAAGGACGGAATTCTTTTCAAATGATGTGGCAATTTTAAACATATATCCACATTCTAGGTCAACAGCAAGCTTGGCAGAGAATGCACTTAAGCAGGGTTTCTCCTCTCTGAGTTTACACCTTCCCCCTTCCTCCCTCTTTTCCCTCCCCCAACCCCCATCTCTCTCCACCCTCTGCCTGCCTCTCTCCAACCCCACATTCTCATCTGCCTCTCATCTTCTCCCTTTTTCTCCTTAACTGGTTTAATATATCATAATAATATGACACCAAATAATAAATTCATTGTTACATTTACTGAATGAGATGTTTTATTCTCTGCTTTTAAACACTGGTTATAATTTTTACTTTAAAAACTATTTTCTGCTTGTATGTAAGCCTTCCTTGATTACTGCAGAGAAATCAGTGGCCTTTAAGAGAAAAAGACTCTTGATCAGTGGTGCTATTTAAGTAAGAAACACAGGGCATCTTCACTGAAAACGTAAGCCACTCCACTGTCATGATACAAATACTCTTTCTTTTGCTTGGCTACAGGGACAGAAAGAAAAGTCTCTCACAAATTATTCTAAAACAGAACTTCAACTTAAAAAAACCAAAAAACTAATAGCAGTTCTCTGTGGAGGCATCCAGAGGGCCCCGGTTCTGTGGAATTCCTGACCCCACCCACTGTCTGAAATGTTCCCTCAACTCTTACAAGAACCAATGCCTCAGGCATTGCCCAGTGCCTCCACAGGTGAGGTTGCCTAGCTGAGAACCACTGAGGCTCACTGTAGCTCCACTGGGCAGCTGGGGAGAGAGGGTGATAAAAATTCTCACTCCCTTCCACCTATATCACTGTCTTTAAGCCCATGAGTACAGGATCATGGTTCATCCAGTTGAGTTCCTGGTGTAATTTGTGGGCCCCTGTGTTGAAATATTCAATAAAATAAGCTACCATGGAAAACAAGTCAACTTGTTAACATCCCTGATGGTGTATATTTATCAACTGCCTCCTACATGCCAACTTCTGTGCTCAGCACCTTTCAAGCACTGTATCACTTAATTTCCCCAATAATGCATTTTACAAATGAGAAAGCTGAAGCTAGAGAAGGTGAGGAACCTGAAAAGGCCATGTGAGTATGATGTGGAGCTGGGATCTGGGTGCACCTGACCCCACTGGGCAGATAGCCCATGGGGTGGTCTCCAAATTGATTAGGTCATATACCCCATTAAGAAAAAAATTCCCAAGCACACATCCACATGTATGTTTTATTTTAAAATTACATAGACTCCGATATTTATATTATGAAACTTACAAACCATACGCAAAAATCAAATTTTAAAAGGATGAAAGGAACATGTAATAAACAACCTCATAATTACACTCGCTAATATCTGAAGGAAAAATCAAACTTATCTGGGGTTCCTTGATAATAACTGTATATGTAAACTATGATTCCAGTCATCTTGATGAATTTCAATATTCAGGGGCCAACTTCTAGTCACACTTGATTAGAAAATCTGAGAGGAGTTGTCCTGCACCCCCCCAAAATATGTTGAAGTCCTAACTCCGAATATCTCAAAATATGACATTATTTGGAAATACAACCTTAAGAGAGGCTGTGGCCAGGTGTGGTGGTTCATGCCTATAATCCTAGCACTTTGGAAGCCAGGAGTTTGAGGACAGCCTGGGCAACATTGTGAGAACCTGGTTCTACAAAAAGAAATTTTAAAAAATATGTATTAGCTGGGCATGGGGGCACACATCTGTTACAAAAAAAAAAGGCAATCAAGTTAAAGTGAGGTCCTTAGGGTGGGCCCTGATTCAATAACTGACATCCTTGTAAAAAGGGGGAAACTTGGACACACAGAGGGAAGATGATGTGAAGACACAGGAAGAAGACAGTCATGTGGCTGGGGTGATGGATGCAGTTATAAGCCAGGGATGCCAAGGACTGCCAGCAAATGCCAGAAGCTAGAAAGAGGAGAGAAAGGACCCTCCAGTAGCATCTTCAGAGGAAGCATGGCCATGCTGATGGCCTCCAAAACTGGGAAAGAATAAACTTCTGTTGCTTTTAAGTCATCCAGTTTGTGGTATCTTGTGACATAGCCCTAGCAAACCAGTACAAATACTGTCACTTTTTTATGCTGCAATGAGGCTGACAAAGAACTCATATTGGGAGTAAGAGTGCCATCATTTCTTATTCACTTGTGTTTGCCCTGTTAAAACTATTTTCAGGCCAGGCATAGTAGCTCATGCCTGTAATGCCAGCACTCTGGGATGCCAAAGTGGATGGATCACTTCAGCCCAGGAGTTCGAGACCAGCCTGGGCAACACAGTGAGACCTCGGCATGCACCTGTAGTCCCAGTTACTCGGGAGACGGAAGTGGGAGAATCACCTGAGCCTAGAAAATCGAAGCTGTGGTGAGCCGTGATCATTATATTCCACACCAGCCTGGGCAACAGAGTGAGACCTTGACTCAAAAACAATAACAACAAAAACTATCTTCAAACCACAAGCCTCCATTCCCTCACAAAAATTAATTGGAGACATTTGTCCACAAGGGAAAAGTTGCTAATATAAAACTTGGAATTAATTCTATAATTTGAAAATCCACTTAGCGGAGCACTCATCATCTTCCTCCATCCCATGTCACTGAAGCCAAAACAGATGGCACACCTCCCATCTCAGGATTCCAATTTTTCCTCAGGACATTTGACTCTCCATATGTGGCATGAAACCCTCTGTCATACAGATCAAGTGAGGGTGTTAGGGTCAACCTACATAGTAGATATCAGTAAAACTTTAATTTTTATATACAAAATAGGTATTTTAAAAGTAAATAGAAGTTCTAATGTTTTCTTCCCAAGCCCCGCTGTGGAGACCAAAAGCCTATTCTGTAGCTAGCTCATCTCACAGCTGGTAAAAAGACAGCTGGTAATGAAATGGGCTCCACTAACTGAGTCAGTATTCAAGGGGCCAATCAACTCTGAGTGAATAAAGGTCAAATCGAGTTCAAGCTTAAAAGAAAAGAACCAGGAAGTGTTTTCCTCAAGAGTAAAAGTTCCTAAAGTCACTTCACAATCACTTATGTGGCCTAGCATGAATGCAGAGCCCAGAAACACAAGGACTCGGGAGAGATCCCAGGACAGCCTACGATACACCAGGATCACAGACAGCCATAGGGGGCGGGGTCACACACACCAGGTCAAGTCAATACATCTGAGCCGACACCCAGCAGGGAACCAGGGGCAGCTCCTGCAAAATCACGGGTGCCATGACCATGCCTGGATTCCAGAGACTGCACCAAACCACACACAATCTTCCTAATCAATGCTGAACTTTCAAGAAGATGTCTGAGACCACCTAATTTCAAGATCTGCACAAGAACAAGTTACCAAAGTAACATAAGCTAACACTTTGGTGGTCTATATTGTGTTACAATGTGCACATGACAGGACTGCATGGGCTAATTTAATACTTCAGCTGTTAGAAATCAGGATAGCCAGCTGGGCTTGGTGGCTCAGCCTATAATCCCAGTGCTTTGGGAGGCTGAGGTGAGTGGATTGCCTGAGGCCCCAGGTTCGAGACCCGCCCCGGCAACTTGGCGAGACCTCATCTCTACAATAAATCAAAAATTAGCCAGACATGGTAGTGCACGCCTTTAGTTCCAGTTACTTGGAAGGCTGAGGCGGAAGGACAGCCAGAGCTCAGCAGGTCGAGGCTGCAGTGCCGACAGCATGCCACCACTCCAGTTGGGATGACAGAGTGAGACTCCAACTCAAAAAAAAAAAAAGAAATCAGGATAGCCATTACTCAGAGTGGGAGCAAGGAGGGAAGTAACTGAAAGGGGGACACAAGGGGGCTTCTGAGGGGCAGGTAATGTTGTTTCTCAATCTTAGTGTTGTTACATGGCTGTAATCAGTTTGTGAAAACTCATCGTGTACTTATGATTACTTGTGTATCTATCAAATATTACACTTTAATTATAAGTTACAAGTTATTTAATATATTTGTATGTAATGTTTCAAAAACTACATTTCGATCTAATTTGTAAAATTCTTAAAACATTTCTAACAGATCAGTTGGGTATATCTGCCAGCTCGATCCTGGCTTATGGACAGCTTGGGGACTTCCTTCCTCACCACTGTTACTGGACTCCAGCCCTCCCCTGGGGCTGAAACCTCACACTCTCATCAGATACTCTCTCTACTCTGCTGCCATTATCAGCACCATCTCACATGAGGTCCCGACCAGTTGGCCTCACCTCAGCGCATCTCTGTCACCAGCTGCCTCCCTATCGAGTCCTTCTTCCACAAGGTCAGGTCCACCCCCTCCCCCACCAGCTACACACCCTCCCTTCAGAGTAATCTGAATCTGCACAGCATCACAGAATGCCTGCCCATACCGCTGGCATCTGCACCTTGGTTTATCCTGCTTCCTGAGCATCTCCTCTCTTGCCTTCCAGCATCAGAGGTTTTCTCACCCTGCACAGTTCTCCCGAAACCCTGTTACTGCCTTGCTACTATTTCCTTTTCCCTTCTCTTCCCTCTCCATCCCTGGGCATTTCTTTGAATGAGCAGTTGACAACCATCCCTGCATTTTCTCTTTGAAAGATTTGCACACACAGGCTGGCCCAAGACACTGTTTATCTTTGCAGTTCAGCAAGCTGCTTCCCAGTCA